CAAACGGATAGCCATCGCATTCAGAGACAGGGTGCTGCCCTTTGGGCCAGGGACCAGGTGTGTTCGAGCCGATTCCTTGCCCTTCGCTCCACCGGAGCACTGCGGTGAGGAGCAGCCATTGATCGCCAGCTCGCTCCAGCGCACAGAGCTGTGTCTGGCACGGCCACGGCACTGAGCAGCAGCCGTGGTAACCAGGCGAGGCTCTCACATACTCAGGCAGCAATCAGTCCGGTGACTTCTATGAATTTCTGAGAGCAAAACTGAGCAATAGACTCAGCAAGACTGTATTTTTACAAGGAGGTATCGCTGTACTTTTGGACCTACAGTCTCCGCATCACAATATCCCTAAGAGGATTTCTGTATACTCCCATGGCAAGCAATTGCACAGTTTGTACATGAAATATTTCCATGGATGAGAGAAGTTAGAGCCTGCCATTCAATTTGATTAAAGTATTAATATTTTTCTTTCACATATGCATCATTTTGTAGCTCATGTCAGGGAGTACAATTCACTGTGTATTTTCAAAGCAGTATTACAAAAGTATATTACTATACCAAACTAAAAGTATTTACTACACTATACTAAAAGTATATTACTATATTCAAAGATTTTTAACTTATTTTTGAGCAGTTTACAATAATACTCCTACTTTCAGATGAAACAAAATTTTTGAATATTTTTAATGATCTCATTAATGGCATACCAGGTGTGTGTGTTTCCACAAGTAGTTTTAAGCATCACTAATTGCATCACTTCAGACATTCCCCTTTTTATATCATTTTGTGAAGACTAAACAGAGATGATCTGCTTCTATAGAAACTGGCTAGAGTCAGCTGTACTGACAAATTTGAATGCAACAGCAAGATACTGATGATAATTGTTTGAAAATGCGTCTGAACTTGTGAAATTAAATTTGAAACATGTTCACAACAACATAAGGGTTTTTATCATGCAAACTTAAAGCTTCTGTGCTGTTTTTCCTCTTTCAGGGTCTCCTCTGCTATTTCACTGAGGTCCTGGACCTTGGTGTTTCCAGGAGAGAGGCAAAGGGGACCAGCAGCCCTTCACAGCAAGATTGCTGCCTCTTCTCCACGTGGGTCTGCTGTGTCTGCTAGTAAGGGGCACAAATTAGATTAATTAGATTAATTGGTGGTGTCAGTCCAGCAGCTGGTGGACAAGTGTCCATAAAATAATCAACAATCTCAGCAAGGAAGACAAGAAGGCAGATGGACTAAAATATTTCCTTCCTTTGAAAATATGAAATCAAATCTTAAAAGGCAACTTTGAGACAATCAAAAGAATAATGCTGGGGTTTTCTTTGATGCTTTGCCTTCTTTCTAACTGCAAGTAGAAAAAAGTGGTATGCTTTTAAATTAAACTAAGTAACCAAACTAAAATTAAAACTAGAATTAGACCTAAACTAAAAAGTAGGTTAAGTGAAATGTCGACTCTTTCACATTAAAACAAAACAAATTAAAAAATCTGATACAGGGTGGCTCCTGTGTGTGGCATCTAAAGTGAGTCAGAACACGGTTCATCCACGGAAAAGGATTTAAATTTTTAGGTATAATTTGCCAATAACTCATTCAATGTGATTAAATTTAAATGTTCATGAAGTGACAATCATACTCTGGGAACTGAAAACATAATATGTAAACTGATTCCATATGAAAATAAATTTTTAAAACTTAATATAAATAAAGTTGTCACTCTGCTCTTTCATTTCTCCCAACTCGTAGACATGTTTAAAATAAAACATAGGAAATTCACTGATCATTTATTCATGCTCATAAAACATTTCTCTGCTTGTTAAATGCAACAGAACTGGACCTTTAATTTATCTTTACCAGGAACTACTTCAAGACAGGGAGTTTCCAGGAATATTTCCAAAAAAAAATCTTTGCATTAAAAGAAAAAATTAATACAGATGCCATGCTTCTTGCCCTTGGTGAAATCCATTCACTTTTATAGTTACCATTAATGTTACTGTTAAAATTTCTAGGTTAAATTAAAATTTCAAATTAAATTCCACATTTAGCCCACCCATAGCTATGTGAGGCATCTGGAAGAGTATCCTAGGCAAGCAAGAAGGGTACAGACTCTGTGCAGAAACACATGGTGCAGGTCTGAAGAGTTACTTGCTTTTACTTTTATTTTACCAACATACCGTTTGTTGTTCAGCCTATCAACAAGCTATAGTTCACTGCAATTCAACAAGCTATAATGCACTGCAATTCAAGGCTGGTGTGCTTAAAAAAAACCTCAGTCTCCATTTCGTTACCTCCACTTGCAATGAGGGACTTCATGTTTATATACAGAACAAACTGTTTTGGAGCTCTCTTATTAAGTACCTGCATCTGTCTTCTGTAGGCACTCACAACACAGCTTTTATCAGAGATGCTGAATATGAAATTTTGTGAGAAGAATCCCTCATTGTAGAGGGTATGTGAAGTGAAGAATCTGGCTCCACAGCAAGATTTTAAGGGAGCATTCTGTTCCCCAGGTCACTCACCCTCTGTAAACTCCACAATTTAAGTCTACAGAGCAGTGTGTCATGTCAGCATTCCTCTTTGCTCTCAGCATTTAAAACAATGTCCTAAGGTTTTGGCTGGTGGACGTAGATTTCCAACAGAAGAAGCTCTACTCTCTTTTTCAAACTCCAGACTCCTGCAGACACCAAAGGTAAGACAGCTTTGTGCAGAGGTGAGGTGTTGTCCCAAGGTTAAATGGTGCTAACTAGCTCTCCTGTATTCTCGTCTTCTCCAAGAGTTTTCATCCACCTTATAGATACCAGGCATTGAAAAAGGAAGGAATAACAAAACAACAAACAACTCACCCCTGACTGCCTGCTCCAAGACACTGTGGTGGTTTTGCCAATACGCAGGCTTGCCTTTTCTAGACTTACATGGAAGTTCACAAACTCAGCTCCCAAAATCTCAGGTCAAAACTAAGATGGAGGAGAGCATTTTGCATGTTAGTAGGACCAGGTTTTGACAGTCTGCAAACCCCAGTGACCAGCTCCTGCACAAGACCAGCTTATTCTCTCTGGGTGCCCTGGCTCAGCAGAGCAGACCGGGGTCCTGTGTCTGCCCCCAAGCACTGCATGAGGCTGGCTTGGCCTCTGGGTACCAAAATGGCTGAGCAGAATTGCACAGTTGGCCAGCGATTCACTGCGGTATGGATAACACTTCAGGCTCCAGAGGTGGATCTGTTGAGCTGCGATGCCCATGCAGAGCCAGCTTTGAAACCAGAGTGAGTCACTGCATTCCTTGAGTAGCTCCATCCCTGGTGGCCCTGTGGTTGTTTTCTGTGGTACAAGGCCCTTTCTGTGCTGTGGTGACCTACTTGCATATTCTGGTTTGATAAAGATTAAAAAGAAAAAAAAAAAAAAAAAAAAAAAAAAGGACAAAAGCCCTGAACCCTTCAACAACAAAACCATGAACAAAGAAACAAGAGACTACTTTTTAACTTGTTCTTTAACATTCTTAAGCTGTTATGGAAAATAAGTAAGTCTCAAATCCCGTAATTCGTTCTTTATATACCTGAGGCAATGAAATATGCATTTTTGTATGTTGGATTTTGCCTCAAATAGCTTTGTAATAGTCTTATCCCAATGATGAACTGCTTTTTTTTTTTTCATAAAATTCTTTCCACTATTGTAAGCAAAGATTTAAGAAACAAAGATTTCTTTTTAAGATCTACAGCAAATAGGACTTATATTTGAACATTTACATTTGAATATTAGGGACTTTAAATAATCTGTCTGTGAAAGACAAATAAATCAAGTATTCAGAACAGTGAGAACAGAGTTTTAATTTTTTTTTTTTTTTTTTTTTTTTTTCTGAGAGAAACAGTATAAACTATAAAATGTAAGTTGTGATTTTTGTTCTCTGAATTGTCATCACCGTTGCAGAGTAAGATGATGTAGAGGTCTGCCAAATACTGGGGCAGTTAAAGAAAACATTAAAAATACTTGAAGTAGCAGATAAATTGAAGGCTTATGGCACAGCATACTCCAGGGAATAAGAGATGATATAAGCATTTGGATGTGTCCCACTGTCACAGGGCATGTCCACACTGGGCAATGGAGTTGTCTACACTGGCAGAGACCTGAGTCAGCAAACCCAGATGAGACAAAAAGAAAATTATAACATGCTATTCAGATTATATTGCTTTAGGTACATAGCCCTGAACTAGTAATAAACTATACATAAAAAGAGTAAATCTTTGTTTGAATTCAAAACAATCTGGGCTATCCAACAAGTTGGGTTAACTAACAAGTTACCAATACTACTCTCCAAGGGGTCTAAATCCCACATTCCACAGATCAGCAATGTGGAACTTCACTAGTTTTAGTGGCTCTGCAACCATGTAAGAGAACAATCTGGCTCATACAGCAATGCAGGGAACATTTTCTGTCACAGGACAGCTGGATTATCTTTGCATAGTAGCATTTCATACTGTCTTAGTGCTGACCAGGTCAACATGGGTGCTTTTCTGAAAGCAAATGATGCAGAATATAATTCCATTCTTCAGTATCAATTCTGTGGTTGGTATTTTATGTGGTTGTTTTTTAATGTATCACCAGGCTACCCGATTATACATAAATGAATCTGTTGATAACTATGCTCTTCCTCTACAGGCAGTCTCCATGTTATAGACTGGAAATGGAGATACAGAGACAGTTAAAGTCTTATTCACAGTGCAGATCTCTGTGTAGTTATTCCTAGTGTTGCTGCAGACTAGTTGTACCAATAATTATCCTACTATTTTTGTATTTTATTTTATTTTGAGTAGAGAAGTGAACTATTCTGGTAAAATATTTTTTTTGCAGGTATACCAGGATGTCTTAATATTTGACTACCATGGCTACACCCTAAAAATCATGTTGAGAAACTTGGCAAAATGGGGAGTTCAAACAAACCTGAGACATTCAAGACCACAGTAAACTCCAGATCAGCATTCAAAATCAGATATCTAACTAACAAAACCCCAAGAGTTCAACATGAGAAAAGATTTTAGGAAACTAAGGAGAAAGAAAGTATGCAAAAACCCAGATATTTCTAATACTGTCAGTCATGATAAGAGATGGAGACATAAAGACATCGACAAATCCTACCTCAGAGGTATCCAACATGTTCCAGGAGAAACAATACCCAGCAATCAGAAAATTTGTTTGACATTAGTCTGTGAAGAAAAGGACATTTACAAAGGGATTCATGGGAATTAGAACAGAAATCCAAAAAACAAATAGGATTTGATGATGAGGCTCCTACATATAACTTACAAAATGCTCCCCCAGTTTAAGTATATTAGAATGCATTATATAAGGTCATATGACAGATTATCTATAATCTGTATAAATACAGTGCCAGGAACTGCTCATAGACTAGGGACATGAAGAATTAGGTGTCCTACAAAAAAAAAGTTCCCTGGCTCAGAAATTTGCTCCCTAAGTAGAAGGCAAAAAAATGATAAGACAGGAGGATACAAAACAAGAGAACACAGGTCAGACAACAGGATTAGCAAGTGGTCGGAGTGCATTGGCAGTCTAGCTCCTCTTTAACATATAAGCGTTGACATATAAGTATTTTAGTAAAAAACAAAAACAAAAACAAATGGTTTTCAGAGGTATAAAAGAAGAGAATGAGAACATGAGCACACAATGGCACAACCAATTTCATGGCTGAATACCTACTTGCTATATGTTGGAGTTGTTGTCCTGGTGTGACTGTAGCATGAATGAGACCTGGGAAGTTGAAGGGAAAATAATAAATGCAGTGGCATATATGCTGCTAATAGCACTAGAAAGGATGAAAACTATTTCTGAAACAGCTGAAAATGGAAAGCCTAAAAAAAATAAAAAATCATAGAACTAGATCACATACTCCAAGAAATGGACAAGGAAAGTTATTGTCAGCAGGCTAAAGTATGTGACTGGGACAAAAGATGTGATGTGGACAAGACTTACGTAATGGAGACATCTTAGATACCTAATTTGGAAACTCTGCAAGTGAATCATGAATATTAGACAGCTTTTTTTTTTTTTTTTTTTTTTTTTTTTTTTTTTTTTTACCATTTCACTCTGCTTTCATCTTTACTTCATCTTTAATTTCTAAGGTGAAAATTTTTGACAGTGGCTTCTGTCATTCACAGATATTTTGCTGAACTTTACCTTGCGGGAAATATCTTCAACTTGAATGTGCCCCAACATGCTTTTAATGCATTTCCAGTATTCTCTGAAAGCACTGTGAATTGTTCCATTGATTTCAATAGTCTTCAGATCAGACCCATGGGACTGAAAGATAAATGTATTACATACTCCAGAATGAACGGTTAAAAAGAGAGTGCAGTAAGATTAATGCATTTGTAACTATTGTTTCCACAGTGGCAATAAAGAATAAGTAGGATAACAGATTACGAGTCAAGATAATATATCCTGAAAATATATCATTTGAAAGTGGCTGCATTGCTCTTAATTACATGGATATTTTTTCCATTCATATGACACTTTTCAAGAAAGTGAATCTATATTGACATTTTGAGCTGGAGGAGAGTTTTCTAAGGTACACGTATTTGGTTCACACAAGGGAACTGATAAGCACTAGTCTCATTAAGTGGCAAGGACATTTAAAATACAACAAAACTATTGCATAAATGTTTTCACGGAGTTGCATTAATGAGACAATGTGGTCACAGATCTTAGTGGAGGAACTTCTCTTAGGTATTGTTACCTAATCTCTAGCACTCAGTTCCCATATTGACCATCATCTATGTCAAAGTTAGTTTCAATTTTCTTTAATCTGATTTACTAACATCTTTCTCCCCAAACATACACCAGATTTTATTGTCTGCATATTCATCAGGTGAAACCTATATGTTCACCCATCAATGAAAAAATGGCTGGATCACTAACTCTTTCATTTTCATTGTTTGGCCAAGATTTTTGAAATAGAGAAGCCCATCCTCGTTTACTGCACACGCATGCAATCCTGTTGATTCAAAGTGTTCATATGTAATTAAAGCTTTGCAGTGATGCATCCCCCTGAGTTCACTTCTACTCAATATTCAAGGAGTTTCAGCGGCTTATTCCCCTCAGACAGCAACAGCCTATTTTTCGCCTTAGTTGCAGCAGGTTCATTAGGGATCCAGCGAGGAGCTTTAACTGAGCCAATTACATTGGCACCGCTTTAAAACAGTGACAAGCTTATGGGTCTTGGGGGACTTCTCTCTTGCCCTCTCTCACTATCCAAAAACGTGAGCTGTGTGTTTCTTTATTTATTTTTCCTTGGAGAAAAGAGTGGCAGAAGGACACCCAGTTAACGAGATGGCAGCAGTGGCACCCACCTCTGCAAAACAGGCCCCGGGTGACCACATGCACATCAGAACATCGCTGCTTTCTTCTGCATCTCCCGTGGTACCTCTCACTTCTTCGATGATGTCAATGAGGGAGGCAGCTAAAGAAACAGGTCTTTTCTGCATTATTTAAATACTGCCTTCACATATCCTCAGCTACTGCTCACAGGCACCCAAAAGTCTGATCAGCAGTCAAAGTGTTGCTTCTCAAGGTGAAGACACGATCTGTCTGCTGTTCATTACAATCTTAAGTTGAAATCAGACATTTAACTGTTTGTGTTCAACATGGATTTTAAAATGCGGAAGCTTAAAGCTTCATGTGCTCATGACTCAGATGTTTTATTCAAAGCATAAATGCCTTCAATAAATATTCATGTTCCAGTGTACGTACTGAAATATCCCATCTCAGTCAACCAACTTTAAGCATTAGTTTTATGGTACTGATACTATTTTTTAGCCCCAAGTACAATCTTAATTGCACTTATGCAACTCTACTATATTTATTCTGGTTACAGGGGGTCAGAAGCGATAAAAATTCAATTACTATTTCTGATGCGTGACAACAACTTTGTGTCTTTACATGTGTTTTTTTTTTTTCACTGTTTCTTCTAAAACAGGCCTCACTGTTATTAGCACTTTGATTACAGGCCTTCATCCTCCTATACCATTATGCATTTGCATTTGGTAGACAAATTGAATATTTCTTTACCCCTTCACATATCCACTGTCTGCCTGATGGTGGCAGAGCAAGCAGACCGTGCCATAACACAAAAGACATTGTATTTCATACGCTTCTGTGAACATACAATTAAATATACTGCTTATAATATACAGCAACCTACCATCAAGGCATGGCTTTTAACAGCACAGAAACCCCCAATTTTTTTGTTCATCTGTCCAGGTAAAGCATGTGCCATAAATCTGCCCACAGCATGCTCAGAAAGCTTCAAAATTTGGGAATAGAAATGTCCGAAAGATTAAACAAACAAATGAAAAAAATTAAATAAAATTTAATCTCTGTCTTTCCAGGTACAATTCTACCTTTAAGCAGGAAGATCGCCTTCAGCCCGTCAGGTTTCCCACTGAAGTGCATGCTATGAATGTATAGGTAGCAATTAAGGAAAAATAATATAAAACCAGCTCAGAAGTTGCCATGTTCCATACTCAGGCCTGTCTTTTTGAGTACTATAAGGCTAAGTGACACAGGAAGGTATAATGGAGCACAGTTTGGGCCACAGTGCTGTCTATCTTACTACAGGTACTTCTTAAGGCCAATGAATATGACTTTGTGAGATCTTGAACTTTTTGACCTAAGTTAGCACTGAATTAAACACATGTTTACCCTCAGAGTCCAACACAGAGCATGGTTACATTTCCATTAACAAGCATTGCAAAGTGACAGATACAGATCTGTGAGCTGAACCAGACTGGGCTAGGGCTCAGTGCCTGTTTCGGATGTTTTGATATAAATAAATAAGGAGCAGAGCACATATAGCAAACGGTTATTTAAAATGTGTTCTGGTCAATATAGGGACTTAAATATTTACCCAAGACAATAGTCATATAATTTAAAATAATGGGTATATCTGAGAAAATTGTTCTCTGCTTGTGGATATTCTCTGGTCACATTGATCAAATGACTTATGAATTATTTATTCAGCCTTGCTCTTAAATTTAAAAGCAAGAATTATTGATTTTGCTTCATATATCACATTATGGAATTGGAATATAGGGAAAAAAAAATACCATGACTAACGTGGCGTGGAAACAGCCCATCTTCATGCACTCATCTGGTTTGTAGAAGAGAGGAGGATGTACAGAGGTTGCTACTACAAAGTTAGTGAGCAAATCTGGCTCCAGTGGCCTCTGTAAAACCCTAACAACATGAAGAAGCTCTTCCTTGAGCTACAGAATACCACATGGAGTTTGAATTAAAAATAAATAAATAAATGCAGTTTGACTTTGATTCAAAAATGCAAGTATTGCACTCCCATCCTGTGCTTTCTACCAAAGACACTGTTTCCTATGTATCAAAGCTAGCCGAGACTTAAATATCAGAGGTGAACAACAGCAAAGTAAAGTATTTACATCGCTGGAGTAATAGGCACAGTCTGAGAATGCTTAAAACTGAAAGACGATTTCCTAGGAAGAGCTGAAGATTTTGTTTCTATTTTTAGTACTGAACCACATAGAGAATGATAGACTTTGCAAGGGAAGAAGCAACAGTACTGTAAATAAAACTTTCAGTCACAAAAAAATAATAGTGTTTTGTTTTATACATGAGTTATTAAGGTTAACAACCACTTGTAGATTTGCTCCTTCCCATTAATATATTGCAAACAAAATATTGCCTTCTGAGGTGGACATCAGCTCCTTTCGTGAGGCCAGGTACAAAAGGAGTGTTAAGCCCTTGAAGTAAGAGCCAGAGATTTCCCATGGGTTTCTGGGTCCATTAATATCCCTGTCATTCCTAGCCAGCTCTTTCATATCTTAGACTTTGTAACAATGGAAAGCTTGCAAGGCTCCAAAGCACCATCGTTAAAATAACAGATTACAAGGACATAGCTCAGCATCACCTTACCGTGAATGATATCTGATCAGAAGAGCTTCTTAAAAATTCAGGCTTGAGAACTGTACTCCAAAATATGAGAGAAACCTTTCTTTTAGTTATGCAACTTCTTTTGACTTGAGACAAATGCTTGCAGATCTTATTTTAGTGGCTTCAGGCAGTAAAATCTGGAAATCGCCAATCTGAAGGTGTGCCTGTCTACAGTTACTCGATCCACTGGAAAATACAGAAACAAATTATTAAGAAACATAATTTTGAATATTTCCATTGTGCTTTATATTAATACTTTTTTTTTTTTAAACACAAAGTGAGTCTCAACAGTCCAAAAATGCAGTCATGTAGACACTTCTCAGTGCATGACATGCTACTGAATTTTGCTATCTCCTGCTCAAGTTAACTTGTACAGATGAATAATATGGCTGCTGTGATCTACATCATATTTACCATATGGAGAAAAATGATGTAACATTTGGCAAGATGCTCTTCTTACTAGCTTATTTTAAAAACTGTACCTTTAAAAAGAATACCTAAAGTGAATCTGTAAGGAAGGTAAATGACTGGATTTTACAGAAGCCTTTGGCTACAGCCCCATTTTATCAGGAGATGGTTCATGACATACAATATTAATGGAATTTAAAGATAAACCATTTGGTGATGCATGGAGGAGTTGTTGCATCTGCAGAGGATGTAACTCTGCATCTGATTATAGGGAGCTTTTGATGAAGTATTAATACAAGAGAAGAAGCAAATACTTCTGTCCCCCCCTTGGAGTAAAATCTACCTTGTATGAGGGAAAAAAAAAAAAAAAGAAAAAAAAAGTTTATATATATTTCTATTTTGAAATCACAGTTGGCAAATTAGATCCACATTTCTATGAGAGAAATTGCTTTACCAAGAAGCATCACAAATGAGATTTCAAATACCTTGTGTTTCAAAGTTTTTCATGGTTGCTTATATAATACATTTACTGTATAGGAAGAGTTATTCTCTGTACTATATCTGTTGACATAATCTAGAGGTATCTTAGTAGCATATTTCACATTTTCAGAGATATTTTGACTACATGTGGTTATTTGGTGCACTTTGGGGACTTGAGATGTTGTATTTGACATGTAAACAGCTATGACTGATGACCAACCTTTAAAACAAGAGATATACAAAAATAATTACATTTTCCCTTGCTGGTGGACACTGGGATACAAGAACCTTTTACCAAACTCAGTAATATTTGAGAAGATGCAGGCACCTTGGTTTACGAAGATTATGACAACACTACTAGAAATGCTTATCATTTTAATGTATGAGATAGAGAGAATGCTTGGTGCTGTCCAGAATCCTTGAGATGCTTGGAAAGTGTCACAGCAACACAGCAGAGAACCAGCAGGAGTACGCAGTCCACCCAAAGCCACACTTATGTCACTTACAGTGGGATCTCTCAGGATACAGCCAATTAAATTTCACAGGCATGGATGAGTAATTAAAAA